CAACACAATATGGCTATCCCATGCTGAATGTACATATACGATATTGCAAATACTGATGCTTATGTTTAATTAGAGATGACAGACTTACCTTTAAAAACATAGATCTATTATAATTTGGAAACTTGATATATCCAGCCATTTTGGCTCCATAAAGTACTACAATAGTAGCAAGCATCTGTCAAGGTATTCAAATTGTTAAAAAATATATACGAGGAGTCTCTTACTGTATTTACTCTCCTAAAGGCCATTAGTAAACAAGCCAACGACTTGGTCATATATTGAATTATACATGAAAATCAAATCAGTTTGAGAACAAGAAGAACATTATCGTACTACCTGACCAATTCCAAGGAATTGRAATGAAGGGAACCTAAAGAGGAAAATATGATATTTTAGAAGACGATACACGAAAAGGATGAAAAGGGAGTTCAGCAAAAAGAGATCATTAAATAGCAACGAGTGCAAGTTAAGAAATATTTAAGTTAATTAAAGAACGTTGCCATGTCACGAACTTACTTGTAAGTTGTAAGAACATTTTTGTTGATAACGACGATAAGAAACGAACAGATCCCATAAAACACTGCCGTGCTCACTCGATTAAATAAATTGGCTTTAGAAGCAGCCATTTTCTACGCTGAATTGGCGCAGATTTCGAGCTGAAATTGACTAAAATGGCATCTTGCTACTTAACTGGCTTGCAACGTGTCACCGGCCGGGTCGCCATGTTTGTTTTGACATCGACTTCTTGTGTAGGGGTGAGAGGGGATATTTGAGCCAAAGGGAGCCCAAGAAACAGAMAAAAATTGGAATATGTATGTATTTCCGTCTGTATTTCCTGAATTTACAGCAAAGTGCGATTGAGAAAAAAAGTCTGTTGTGAATTTGCTTTTGTAAAGCATCTACAATAGTTAAATGCCAACTCCCTACATTACAGCAAAAATGCAAATATACATTATATTACTTAAGCTAAAAATTAATATTGAGTCTCAAGAAAAGTGTTTATGTTTTCTTATTCATTATTTTGTTAATTCAAGGAAAAGAACTTTAAAGGTCCCCTGCCTGTAAAATAAGCGAATATTTTGGGCTTCCTGTGTTAATTGTAAATTCGCAATGACTTCTGGGTTATTTTCACAAAGGTTCCTTGTTTTCGCTTCATGTCGGAAACCGCGTCAACTTCCAAGAGGGAGTTTTACAAGTTTTCTCTGTATTTCCTTGGTTTCATACGCCAGRAATGGCCTTAAATCGTGAAATGGAATCCATACAAACGTAAGTGGATTGAATTTCYTTGATTTTCAGCAGATTTACGAGGATTTTTATGCGAAATTTCGAGCTTCTTCGGGACAAAGCGAAATTGCGTTGAACGAAATTGCAAATAAATTCATCGAATAAGAAATAACTTAAAACACAACAATCTTACGCTGATGTTTATGTTGGGACTAAATATGAGATTCTCARTCCTTTTTCTGTCGAATAGGGCTACGAGTTTTTGCGTAATGTGGAGTTACTTTTGCTTTTTGTAGGAAATCGATCGGCCATGCGGCTTTCGTGTGTATGTTAATATATGCGTCTTCCGAAAAATAATGCGACTCGGTTGAATATTAAAATTACTAAGTAATGTATTCAAACTGAGGTGTTCRTAATTTATTCGGTAACTRATGTAACGCARCACAAATGTCTGTAAAATGGAAAAATCCAATTMAATTCAGTTCGATTGACGAACCACACGAACGCCATTCGAAGTGATTTCGATTGGTTGTTTGTTTGGTTTTGCTCGATTGATTACGGCGGTTTTTAAGCCGTTAAAAATGATATTTTTGATTTTAAGTGAAAGAACGAAAAAAAAACAAAACAATTGAAAGAAAGAAAACAAGGCATGTAGATCACTAGGAATGATAGATAAGCACCTTGCCTGTAAGCAATCATGTTTGCAAACAATATTCTGATAAGTCATGATTTCTTCAATTAAAACCATACATTTTTAAGTTAATTCCTTCTCCAAAGAAATCACTTAATATAACTCCTTCTTTTGGTTGATACTCTTATTTTGAACACCTAGATAATCACGCTCTGGACCGAGGTGTCTGCTATAATAGAACTTGATTATGACAACAACAATAACCAGCAAAAAGAACAAAAAATAACAAAAAACGCACACATTCACACACGTACACAAACAAAATGTCAAACTTAGGCTTCGATAATTAAATAAATAAAATAATCATAAAAGTTAATTGTGATCAAATCTTTAAAAGAATAACATGCACACACTCAAGCAAAATGCTATYTAACGTAAACTAATTATCGTTTTAGTAAAGATGAAGAAAGTCCAACAGTAGAGTTCTCAAGTTAYACTTGGCCTCAAGTGGGTCACAAAAGAACAATGGACTTAGACTGCGATAACGGACCATCATCTCCTAAACAAATGATTATGGAGTTTGCGAATGAAGAAGGTCAGTCAAACTAATTTTCTTTTTTTATAAAACGAGTTAGAATGTCCATGGAAAATATCAATTTGTAAAAGGAACCTTAGTCATTCAGAAATAACTGTTCCTTCATGACCAAAAGGTGCAGAAKCGAGACATGTCACATTCATGTTTCTCCAATATTTTAGAAGTACATRATGTACAGGAACTGAGAAAAATATTGGTTTTCGACAAAACTGAAATTGAACATAACAGTGGTTCTGAAAAGGGTAAATAATATATAAGTAATTTATAGATTTATCCTGAATTTCAGCTGTCACATGTTTGAACTTATGTAGTTAGACTTTTGCTATTTGGTGAAATCTTTTTACGCATGATCAGCTATATGGCATAGTGCTTCTCTGTCTTACAARAGGAGAAGCCACAAAAAGTGGATTTTTTTATGTAATCAATGATAATATGCTTGGTCATGTGACAATTCCACAGGATACCATACAATACACAAACTCAAAAAATGTTTATTGCACCAACAGAGACTGGCTCGCCTATTGTAATTCACATCGGAAGTGGAGAAAATCTAGTAGTCACCGGTGACAATGATTCCAGTATCGCTGAAGGCAAGGCAACTGTGGCATACATAGAAAATAATCATGARACCAGAGGACCAATCCTAGAGGACAATATCATCAGGAAGAACAGCATTGAATGTAATGACCAACCAGGTATGTGTATTGGTTATATTGGTTGGCATGTCAGCTCTCTTGCTTGTTTACAAGTTTGCTTGTATGATTGTTTGCATGCCAGCTTTATCTTCATCTCACTTTTTAACTGCCTGACATACCTTTTTGCTTTTTTGTTGTCTGCAATGCTTGAAAAAATGCTTGCTCAATTATGTACATTTAGATGTTTAAATACATGTTTGTCTTTCCTGTAATATATGTTAATTGTTGYCATTTTGAAATGGCTGAGGTTTTTGGAATTTCTTAGATGTTTTTTTAATAGTTTCATGATTTTTTCAGCAGAAGAGATCAATGGCTTTCCTGTTTACAAGCTACGACGACACGCCCCATTCCTAAATGAAACCCTGGAGCTATGTATGGGTGTCAACCTTAACAAAGAACTCGTTTGTCACCAGGTCCCCCCTAATGTTCAGGCTTCGGCCATCTTTGTCGTCGATTTTCAGTGCGTACGTCATCATGACGTCGTAGCCAGAGACAAAGGCTGCTTTGGTCGCCAGTCAAGCCCAACAAGACATGTTGCTCTTAAAATCGCACTTGATCGCACAATTGAAGATATCAAAACTATCAAATTCATGACCGAGGATATGTCTCCGGAGCCTGGGTTCGAGTTTTACAAAATACGACGTCATTACACGTGGCACAAGTTCATTTCTGGTTTGTCAAGAATCATAACGAGGCTTGAGTATAAGAATGAGTTATTCAGGTATGGCGTCGTGCAGTTTAAGCTGTCTGATGAGGACAAATCATTTGCCAGCAACTTCAAGCCTTCTGTGCAAGCAACGCCGGAGAAATCTCACTCTCAGCGTTCATCTTCAAAAGCAAGTATTGAAAATACTCGCACTCCGCGMGTTTTGACCGCAGGAACAGTTTCAAAATCGTCATCTGCGCTCAATTCTCAGCCGTCGTCAAGTAGCCAAGCGAAAGCTCAAGCTTCTTCCACGGCATCTTGCAAAAACGARATATTTAATATTCTTCAAAATGCCGACAAACCTCGTCCACAGCTTAGTAAAGTAGCTGATTACTCCAAGTTGCTGTCATTGCTAAAATGTGACGAGTTTCTCTGCGACGTATCTTTCTGTTCCATGTTGACTGATGATACTGAACGCGTGCTAAACCCAAGAACATTCGCCATGGGAGAACTACAGCGGCATTGGCTGCAGTCGTTCTGCACCGGCGCCAACCCCAAGTCAATTGTCAGCATCACCAATCTACACAAGCTTGGAAACGTTTATCTCACTGCCCTTACCTGTTCCCTACCCATATTCGTCCTGAAAGACGACCCCTCAAAACATCCCACTGTCCTCCTCGCGCTCATGACCAGTCTGACCAATGAGAAACAAGATTACGAGTATCTGGCCAGTAAATTACGTCAGCAGGGGATAACCCAGATGGTGTATGGGACAGACGGTGTAGCCCCCCTTGATGATGTACTTGAGAAGAATTTTCCGACTACTGGGGCTGACAAGAGCATCCATGTATGCTGTTTTGACAATGCCAAAGATATCATTATGCAGAAACTTGACTCAATGAAGGTGAAAACGGGAGACTTTAAGTTACTAATTTCAAGACAGATACTTGGGTTCGACATGGAGGATTCTGGAGATGCCCTGGTTGATCACAGAAGCGATGCAAAATTCCGAGAGATATGGTCCAATGTGGAACCCGCGTGGCCGATGGCGTTTCGCGAGTGGATCCACAAACCTCAAGAAGGTAGTGAGCGCTCCTTCTATGATACTCTAAGACGCTGTATGCTACGACCTGTCCGCGTGGCTGCAGGCCTTGGAGATCCACCCAAGAAATACAGCAATAGAGTCGACAATAGAGGAATCAACGATGCCATCACTGAACTCGAGCAAGAGGCAAAGCAATCCGTCGACCTGGTCAAAGTTCATGAAATATTTAAGACACGAGCTGTCGATTCTCAGATAACGGACTTTGTGAAAGCTATGTACAATATGGGGCAGCTTAGACTAGCAAAGGAGTACCAGCATTTGACTGTGTCGCTGTTAAACGTTGACAAATGATCACGA